CTTCCAAAAAAAAAAAAAGCGTCCAATGCCTAAAATCGTTTGTCCAATGCCTAAAATCGTTCAGGATTAAATCCTTAAATCCTTAAGGCAGAGGGCTCAACAGAACAAATGAGAATAACATTTTAATTGTAATGACGTGCACACTAGGAGAATGTAAAGTCTGGCACCTGGGAGGTGTAACACAGTGGAGCAGACCCGGCAAAGCGCGACGGAGGTGGTGGAGGGATGGGCAAAGGGCACAGAGCCAGGCTTTTCCCTGTGGCATCCAGGGAAGGGGCAGGAGGCAAGGGGCCATGATCCAGCGGGAGGTAACACCACTCACCGCCCTCCAGCACTACCAAAACGTTTTAGCCAGTTACTCCATCATAACCCCGCTGTAACACCCTGCAAGTTACAGCCAGGGTCTGTACATCCATCCCTGACCCCACCAGCAGCACTTTGACACACTGCAGGGAAAGCACCTGTAAACAGTTGCAACGGTACTTTGAAAAGGTAACACTACAGTATTTTCCTGAAGATCAGAAATCACCCCCCCGTCTTCCAAGATGTCTAAGGACAGTACTGAATTACTCTCGTTAGTTAATGACTCCTCTTGACTGAGGCTTTTGGAAGGCAGGAGGTAGTATTGCCAATGCACATTTGGGACACCTCTCAGACAATTAAAAAAAATCATATACACTAGTTCTGCACACATCTCTGACAAAAGGATGGCGGCTGTAGATAAAGGAAAAGGACACATTAATCTCCTACTGGACACCCAGATGAAGTATTAAACTGTTTTGTCTTGGGTTGCAGCCACTATAGCATATGAGCCTCCAAGGTTCAGTTATTCATCAGATGGTACACTGCTGCTCCTCCCCACAACCCTCTTAACCCTTTTTTTTCAAATTGCTGTTAAATAGCACTAGTACTAAATAGTACGTATCGGCATCTGTCTGTGCCTCTCTACTTCAAGCATGAGATACCCAGCCACAACAGAATATACACCAGAGAATTTGTAAACATAGATGATAACTGGGTAGAAGAATCAATTTAATTTCATAATTCAGTTACGAGAAATCAAAGATGATGCACAGTTTAATTAACCAGTACTTCCTGTAAAGTATCTTCTTTACTACAGCAAAATAAATAGGGAGTTCACATGCAAAGAAGTAGTTTACAACATAAGTTCCGATTCCTAGTAATGAGCTGTACAGTCTTCATTTTCAGTTATACTGCACTAGTAGTGGGCTGTTGAAAAAAACAATTTCTGACACTGTGACTGTCAGCAAAGCACAGCAGCCTGTATTCCAATTCGCTCTAAGATAGTATTTCAGTTAAGAACTCTGGTTCACAAGTAACTTCTTCATCGATACTATTTCATAACTCTTTGCATCGCTGGGGTCCCTCACTGTATCTTAGCCCAAACTTGCCTGTGGGACCAGAGCATCCTTATACTACAGCAAGGCGCAGAACCAAGCCGATCTGGTACTGCTTACTAGAGGGTTCATCAGCTCATGCTGAGCCCAGAACTGACACAGCATCTTCCCAGCTCAGCAAGCAGCACCTCACAGTGCCCTGTGCATGATGGCTTGCCCCGCCTGAATTTTCAAACACTGGAAAGATACTCTGCAGTTATTACTAGGGCAACTGAACTATCTTACTTTTAAGCAAGACAAAACTATTCACCTGTTTTACCTACGGACAGGTCATTTCCCTAATAAAATATTGACAAGGTCTTAAACAGTCTAGTTACTCAAACAGTAGAATGCAAGTTCCTGTGAAAGCTACTCCCAGCGTTGCTACTACTCAGGCTATACTAAGGCTAGGAGTGAACCACTCCTGCTTGCTAACTTTTAGGTGGGGTTTGGAAATCCATCTTACCTGCCTTACGGGGAGATTCGGAGGATTTGTCTGCTGAAAACACTCCCACTTTAGTGGCTTGGTAACAAGATGGCATATGAATAAGAGACACTTTAGTTACAAATGCACTAGCAAGTCGTTCTTAAGTACTTAATCACTACAATTATCTTTCTGCAAAGAAAAAGACATTGTTACCTAGACTTGCACTTGAATGACTAAGAATTGTGTCTCCCAAAACAGAGAGAATGCAGAAGCAGTCACAATTATATTCACATTAATCATTAACAGCATAACAAAACCCAGTGACGAGATTTTTAGGAACTCATTAACAAGGGTATAATGTACACACTTTTATTTAAACATGGCAATTTACACAATAGCTAAAAGTTTGCCTTTTTCCCCCACCCCTCCCTCAGGAAAACCTGTGTACCTGGATATCAGAATTAGCACCTAGTGTTTATAAAGAAAATAAAGACTTTACCGTATTATTTACTGCAAGCACTGGTCAGATTCTAAGCAATTTGGGCGCAGTGACACATGGATACATTAAATAATCTAATTTCTTGTGATCATCCAATTAGCTCATTGCTTCACCTCAGCAGTGGAGTTTTGGGTAACTGGTTATCTCTGAAACACTAGGAATGCATAGTTCATAAGGCTAAATACATTTGACAAAAAGGGACAAATCACAGTTGTGGTCTGAAATTATTGCAGTGCAAATTTAAAATAGCAGTGTTTTTAAAGCAGTGGAACGTAATAAAGAGGTAGGTACTTTCCTCCTTGATGGTAAGAATTCAACATTGCTTAAAAGTAGTTCAAGCTAAGTAGCTTTATGTTAGATATCTCAGGTACACAAACAGGTCATGGCAGACTGGATTAACTGGAAGATATTTAAAATGATATATAAAATGTTTCACTGGCATAAAAAAGTTATATTGCAAGAGGTTACTTTTTGCGGAGTGAGCTATTATTGTTGAAACACACCGATCTAAACTTTCGGTGACATAAAGCCATATTTACCTTGATGTTCAACGCTTTAGCAAGGTAAGTCCCTTTGCTAAAGAGGGTCGCTAAATATCAGAAGACTGATATTTTGTGAAAATAAAGTGCACTTTTCTGCTCAGAGCAATGGCTCATGCTTCTTCTAAAAAGCAGCCTCTAATTATATGAACTTATTTATCTACCAGGATTGTCAAAAAAGCAATCAAGACCTAGCCCACTGATGGAAATTACTAGGCGATACCAGAAAAGAAAGCCACTTTTGGTGCAACTCTTGCACTATCTCCTCCCCTCCCCCTTTTTGTTCCACACTATGCAATTTTTAATACAAATATTTCTTCCTAGTTCTGAAGCCTGGCTCAACATTCTCTTCAAAAGTAGTAATATCAGCACTTATATGCACCACTGAAGGCTATCAGGTGTACTGACAAAGCAGAGAGAACGTTTACATGAAGAAATGTCATATTTTTAAATAGCACTTTTTTTTTTTTACAGAGCAGATTGAGATGAGTGTCAAGTTTTCAAATCATTACAACAATATCCTCACTGACTGTAATTCATCAGTTATACCATCCTGCTTACTGAAACATTAACAGTGTACTTGCCTTTATACTGCAACGTGATTTAACTGAAAGGTGCTAAAATGAACACTTTTGTATCATTTCCACTCATACACAAGATGTCATGCACAGTTGAGACATTAGATTTTATATCTATTTACAATTTTACATATTTTACAATATATATTTAATCTTTACAGCTACAGAATAAATTCAGACTAACATTGGTACCTTTCAAGTTTCTGCTGGAACTTGAATTCAAGTTAAACTAATTATTAAAAACAAGTAAGTGCATGCCTAGAAGGAAGCTTTCAGGAAAGATGTAAATGGACTAGTGTTGCTTAAAAATTACACCAGTTTGTGTAGAAAATTTAAATTCATTTCAAAACCCCCACAAAAGCCTAATAGAAATCTACCTGACTAAAATAAATACAATTCATTACACTTAACAAAAAAAAAAATGTACCTTTAAAAATGTACTGATTTAAGCTCATCTGATTTCTAGCCTTAAATTTACTTCCCTTCCCAAGTAGCAGATAGTACTAGGTAAGGATAATGATGCGTTTCAAAGTTAACACTGATAATTATCCTGCATAAACCTGAGGCTGCAGTGGTGGGGGCAGCTTGTCGTTCTCCACATTTTCAGAGTCAATAGCTGCTAAGGCTTGATTTTTTGGTTTTATTTCTAATGGATATTTCTCAACAATATCTTGGACTTCCTTTGTAATTCCATCAGTCCAATCTATTAGGTCTTTCTCAAGCTTCTTGGCTTCACTGACAATTCTTTCCTGTCTCTCATTCAACTGAGATAGGAGGTCTAAGTTTTTATACATTTGCTTAACACCCAGGCACACATCAGGTGAAAAACTGTCAGATTCTTGCTTCTTCGGGGATGTCTGACCAGTCATAAAACGATCAAAATCTTCTTGGCTTAGGTTTAAAGACTGAGCATCCAGTTTTTCAATGAAGGCCACAGCACAGCACTACAAACAAAACAGACAGTAAGTATCACTGCAAGCTACAGGTTGGAATGTATGTGTTCTATTTTTTACCCTACTGTTATAGACCAGTAACTGATTATTGTATTAAATGCCTCAAGAAATCGCTCCTAAAGAGTTTTTCCAGAAGCTAACTATATCAGACAGTTCATACGCCTCTTTCCTCTCCCCGAAGTTTGAAGAAGTCAAAAACTGGGAGAACAATACAGGAAATCTCCACTTCAGCTGAATAGTGGTACATGTACTGGATGGAACACTGGATAACGTACATTACAAACCTCAGGGTCACTGCATTTTGGAGGTGAGAGAACAGAAAGAACATGACAACTAGACAAGAGCACTATATTAATATTTACTAATCAGATCAGCAGAGATCTGCTACGCTCTACTCATTTTCTGAAGGAAGGAATGTCAAATGCCCATCTTACCTTGTGGATGCTCTCCTACTGAAAGTACTTTTTAACATCCCAAGCATTTAATTCAACTACATATTTTCCCTCAAGAATTGCTTTATGATGAAATGCAGAGCAGCCAGGTTCATAATCATAATTTCTTCTAATATAAACAAGCACACCAATAAATGCCTCCTGTAGAAGCTTTAAAAAGCCTGTTCACCTCCACACATTAATGGCCTAATTCTGCACTCCTTTCAAGAGATAAACTCTCATGGGCTTAAATGGGGAATTTCGCATCTGTAACATCTGCACAGTCCAAACTCAGGATTTTAGGAACAGAAAGTACTTATGTCCTTACAGGATAAAAATATACCCAACTCTTAGAATCTGACTATTCAAATAAAGGGTTTAATATTATAAAGAAATCAAAGCACTGTCTGGTTTGGAAAGCAGAGAAGGAAGACAGAGGAGATATAAAACAGAAGAGCTTGCTGTACTTTGAGTAACCTCAACCACTATTTGAAGATTAGTTTTAGTTTTCCTTCTACGTTATGCTGTGTTTGCCTTTACTGGATATTCCCACATCCAAATAAAAGACAATCTTGTTGTATAAAACTTCAACATTATTCCTGCACTTACCAGATTGGTAAAATAGTAGCCATCTTCTCCCGTCATCAACCTGCTTGGATTACAGAAGCGTGTTATATACTGGATGTTAGACTGCAGACGGGGTGGGTTTCCCTTCAAAACAATGTATATAAGTGTTGGAAGAAAGTCATCAGCAGAAGCTGGTTCATTTTTTGTGATTTTAATAGCATTAAATATATGCTTGCTGCACTTGGTGATGCATGCTAATTTATCACGAGGGACACGCTTTGAATCCATTTCGATTATATCTGTAAGATAAAAAAGTTCTCAAATCATTAAGACCATATTGATCAGACACCTGAATGAGTAGGAGACTTACTGAACAATACTACTATTGCATCTTTTTTATCTGCGGTACTTGCTGTTCCATAAAAGTATCTGTTTATTCAACCTTCTCTTGGTTCAGTTCAAGTATTTCAAATAGATGAGGTAAGCGTAAACACTTCTCTGGTAGAAAAATTATTCCCGCTTCACAGATGATGTATTTGTGTCCAATACCACAAAGACTACTGCAAATCTAAAAGCCTGGACCCCTTTCTGATGACAGCAGAAAATAATCTTTATGAGCAAGAGATATGAAATTTAAAGCTGTAAATGTAAACTTCATCATTCACAAACCTGTAATTGCTTTTACAACCATATCGGAGACTTCTGGAATTTCTTCATTGACAGGAACACACAGCATTTGTGGAGTTACCCAGTGCAAAGCCCTATGACAAGGAAAAAAAAAAAAAGTTAAACTGTTCTGTACCAGTAACATTCAGGTGTCTGAAACCAGCTGCTTCTCGAATTCAAGGCACAAGGAGTGCTTTGTGTAAATGAGGCACTAGTCCAGTCATAAGCTAGTTTATTCCACTGAGGTAATTTATTTCCAGAAAAAATATGTTTTTTTGCTATAATCTAACAAAAGCAAACCAATTAGTTTTCTTAGCATAGTAGCTTTCATTATTCATCCTATTAATTCCTTCTGTTTCTTAAATAAAGTGTTTTTAACTCTTTCTAGTTAAAAAGCTTGCCATTTTTGTGTGCACAGCAAAATATTTTTAACATGCTTCATTCAGAGTTCGTTTACAGGACTGTGGATTACTCAATTATTTTTCTTTAGAAGACTTACCTGATTCTCTTCTGGACAGCAAGATCTTTCTTCTCATCATCAGTTGTTTCAGGGCAAAAGACATATTTATACTGTCGAGTCATAATGTATTTTTCAATCTGATCCATCGCTTTCTCAACTTTTTCAGGCGGCACTGAAAGGTACAAATCCCACCCCCCATACAGTAAATAGAAGTATTCCATGGTTTTTTTGAAGATTTAATACTTTGGTCCTAATATCACCAAATCAGTGCTGCTGACTTGAACCAACCTGAGTTAATAAATAATGGATATACTTGGAGTATTTTCACTCTCTGCAGCAGAAGTAAAAATATAATGGTAAGAACATCATAGTGACATGCCAAAGTAAGTACATCCATAGGTTCAAAATAAAGGACATTCCTTTAGCACATTCAACACACAAATCAGGTTCAGCTGCTTGTAGCTTACAAGAGTATATTCTCAAAAATACAGCCTTTGAGAATAAATCCAGTAAGGTCTTCCAAATCCTCTGTTCCTGTTTATGTCTCAAAAAAAATCCCTGGCTATGTTTAAGCAGTGCCACTTACATACCAGGGACATAAAAGCAGTCTGCAACAGAAACACTCCCCTCTCACTGGCCTCCTGTGCATTACAGTGTAACGTAAGGCTCACAGCCTGTTAATTGGGTTGAGGCTACACATTCAACTTCAGTTTTAAACAAATAGTATTGAATTTAAAACAAGACGTGAAAACAACTGATTCACATTTAACTGTGAGTTTAAGAAAAACCTGTAAAAGCAAATAATTTAGACTGCAAAACTTTATAGAACTAGTAGTTCTAACTATGGTACAAGAATTTGTTAGCAACATTTCTGAAAGCTGGTTAGGAATGCTTCGGTTTTACTTGAAAATGCAAGAGGCTTTATCCTCAAATAATTTATTTTTCAGCAGTAAGATGTGAGGAAGAGGAACCTGATACCTTTCCAACGTGTCTGTAATTTCTCTGCTACATTTTGATAGAAGTCCTGGGCACATTCAGATTGCTCCTCAATACTTAAGTCCTGTAACAGAAAACTGATTAAGTGTGCAAGTGTGGAAGAAATGGCAGCAATGCCTCTGATGTTTTGCTTTTGTTTAAGGAAAGTGTCCAGCTGCAGTAATAGTCTGAGAATGCAAATGTATCCTCAGAGGTGTTTATGTTGGCTAAATTATATTCAAAAATATAAGAAACCAAGACATACTGGCTCTTCAACATGTGAAAGACTTACGTTTATTTACTCAACAGATGTACATTAGCAGTGGAATTGGACAGGTGCAATGCCATTTTCCCTAGACACATCCCTGAGTAACAGTGACAAAGTAACATAAACTATTAAGCAGCACGCTTGCTCCCAATTTTCTCTTTTTAAAAGATGACATACAGTATATCAAAAAACCAAGAACTTAAATCATAATTTGAAAGAATAGCTATACAGTAAACGCTTCTAATGATAAAGTTACTATGAAATATATTCACAATGTTATTTGTGAAACATCATTGTCTTTTGAGCATTAACTGAGCTACTGAAGAACATAACAGAGTTTTGAAGGGTTAAAATTAACTTCACCCATCAAGTCACTTTTCACCATTAAATGGCAGCATAAAACAATATATTAAAAAAAAAAAAAATGGAGAGAACTTAATTTCTGAATTCTCTAAAGCCAAAAACTAGACAGTTACCCTGAATACATCTCAGGCTGGTTTATGTGTAGTAGCAAACTGTGTATTTTGAGAAAGACTTCTTTTTGACTAGCACAAACTATCAAAGAAGTAGAAAATGAGAGTACCTCCAGTGTTTATAACCAATAATAACAACACACTATCTTCACAAACTCTATGCTTGGAATGAATCAGTTCTAAAAGAAAAAAAGAACTTCAGTATGTTTTCAAAGTGGAGGGCATGTACGGTTCCAACAGAACTGCCTTTAATTTCCAGTCCAATTTGAGGATATAATTTGAGTAACTACATATTAAATAGGACAGGTAAGGGAAGAAGAAGGGAAAAAAAAACAACAGTGTGTTGAATACTGACTCATTTCAACCATAGATGGCACTACAGACACATTAATATTTCAAGAACATTAAATTTTTTTATGGAGAATGAAGACGTAACCCTTATTCTATATTACAAAAAAAGCACAGTCAAATTCCTCTTCCCCAAACAAAAGGAGACGTGTGGTTTGATACTGTATTATCTTTATAACTTTTTAGACTTAAGATATCTAAAAACTCATTAAGTGATACATTATAATTTCCACAAGTCATATTTATCTAGAAAATTGTTTGTTCAACGGACTAATTTATGTGGGATTTATTCAGAAGTAGTTCATTTGGGATGCAAAGGAAAGTTCTCTCAAGATACCCGAGATGCTGGGGTTGGAGGGTTACTTTGGTCACATACCATACCAAAAAGCAAGGCATTCAGAATCTAAGACTGCCACTAGATCTTCATTTGACTAAGTATATCAGCTGAAGACTCCTGTATACAACATATGAAGACCAAACTGCTGGAAGAAGTGTAACATTTTCTCCAGCTCTCCCTGATTTTCTTATTTTATTTATGTAAAAGACATGCAAAACTTACCCTTTTATGATTCATTGTGTCCAAAAATAGTTTACATTGCTTATAGATATCTTGTCCAGGCTTATGATATGTCTTGAGAAATTCTATGAATTCCTTGGATACTCGATCTGTCTCGATGCTAGCCTGCCTGTTTATAGAAGGGCTGGGAGCCTTGGCTTCTTGGATCTCTGCTGGGAAAATTTGGGCACATCAGATTAGCTTTTTTACACCGATGGTTGAATTCAGGAAGCATTTAATGTGTCTTAAAACTTCAGGTTGTTTTTTTTTCAACTGTGCAGACGAATGAGCATTTCTCAAGCTTTACCAGTGAAATGCTGGATATTACTAAACAGAACTCTAGGAAATCAAGTATTCCACTGAAGTGAAACATTTATAGCCACACACCCATTTACACTAATGGCCTTTTTATATTAGCAAATCACTGTAACATGGGTTTGCTTTCAGGTTTCTTACATTTTCATTCCCAGGTAAGGTATCTTCTTATAAGATCAAGGCTTCCAGATGGGATTCTGCAGCAGTTTAAGATAATGGAGTTGTCTCTTTTCCATTCTCCCTCACTTTTATATTCCTGCTCCTTTGCTTGCACCAACACAAGTATTTATTCAACTGGCTCATGAACTAACTCAGGGAGTAGTAGTTTGGGGCAGTCCTAGTCAGAAATCAGTGTTTCTTATGGGGTTATTTTTCAGCTTGATCAGCTCCCCAAGCTGGTTTCCCACCAGGTTACAGGAGCAGCGGCAGCAGCACAAAACAAGGAAGAGCAGCATGAGGTTGGTGTAAACGCATCAGCCCTTCTTTGCTAGGCAGCAGATGTCACCGAATCACACCTGCAGTGCAAATGAGAACTTGGCCATTTGTGTTTCAGCAAGAGCAGAAGCACCAAGTCTGTTCAAGGAAGAATTTGCTTGGCACTCAAGAAGGAGGGAGGAACACAGACTGCACACAGCACTGGATGCAAGTTTATATAGCTGCAACCACGGGGTTTTTTCCACACAAACACATCTGACTTTCCAAGGTATACGTTGCAAGTTCATTGTACTGATCCAATACCTTCACTACCCAAGTTTAGTTCACCCACCTTTCAATTTGCCAGCCAACACTGTTCAAAATGAAGGATTGAATAGAGATTATGTAAATGAACATGAACAAAAGCAAGCAGCAGAAAGACAGAAAACATGAAAATATTGACGGTCAACATGATACAAGCGTATCTTTCAATCTGAAAATACTAACATGCACAACAAAAAAATCCTTGTTTCAGTAAGCACACATGCAGAACTCCAAAATAAAAGGAAATAAATGGGATTAGCGTATTTAAGTTGGTATGTTTAATTTGGACTTTGAGGTAGTTTATCGGGGTTTTTTTTGTTCGTTTGTGGTTATTTGCTTTTAAAGAGATCCAGCACTATAGTAAATTGAAAGCTGTATGATCCAGTGACTAACAAGCACTGATCATCTGACCAACGCACAAGACTTGTTCGGACCTCTACACTTCAGCATAACCCTCCCTGGATAATAATTTGGTCAGGTACCATTAAAACATTTATGGTATGTAAGTGATAACAATGGAAAAGGTTTGCAAATATTTAAATTCCAACTGTAGCAATGAAGATAGAAAGTGTAAATCAACCTCCTTTCTAGTTACACGAGAACCCTTTTCCAGAGAGGATTTCCTCCAGTCTTCTTTACACCTAAGATTCAAAGCAGAATGCCTGTACAGTATTCAAGCTGAACAGCAACCCTTATTATATGTTGATCTAAATTTTTCACCTTTAATATTACATAACCAGTAAGCAGAAAGTATAGTCTTGAAATAACAAAACAAAGAAAGCAGATCCACTTTTGAAAGGGTAGAATTATAAGATTTTTTTTTCCCATGACTAATTACTGACTTAATTTCAAAGAACAGTTGAAGATTTATTTACTTATTCCAACACTGAGTTCACTGTATTATAAAAATAATGAACCTCATTCCGCTTTTTGATTTTAAGGAATATGAATATGATTTTTTCAGTCACAAATTTAAAACACATTATTTTTTAGTTACTAGAGAGATGTAGTCAACTGAGGCAGATTACTGTTAATGTAGGCATTAAAAAAATTGAATGTTAGGATGAACTGTCTTTTTAATAAGTTACACCAAGAACTACATGTAGTCTCTCAGAAATATTGCAGCTTCATTAATCTCCATGTTGAAATCCTGATTAAAGGAAAATGAATTTATACACTACACACTGATTACTAAGGACTTCAGGAACAAACGTACTTTCACCAACAAAACACTTTTAGCTTTGTCATGTACTCTAAAAGAACTAAATCTGACTAGAAAGAAGCTGATGACAGAAAAGAAATTCCATTTGAACAAGTTAAAGAGAACCTAGTAGAGGAGATACGCCAAAATGAGAAGAAAGAGTATGAGGAGAGTTAAGAAAGGATCACCTTTACAAAGAATAAACACTATTAATATTAAAATCTTTCTCAATGCATTCTACAAAAATGCTAGTTATCACAGCAGAACATTAGCACTCCAGTGATTCACTATGGTTGTGCCATGGTCGTGGATCTGAGTTCAAGCAAAGAATACAAAAAAATGGTTCGTCATTAGGTGTACTATGCACACCCATTCACCTTCTTTATATAATTTGCAAAATAAAGAATGGTACATCTTCAAATTTCTTTAGTCAGCAGAACATGTCAGAAGTGCAAACAAATAACATAGGACAAGATGCTAAAGCTGTTTACATCAAGGGTTTTGGTGTCCTTTTGGTTTAAATGAAACCAGTATGTCTTCTCTTCATATGAAATTGTCATCTTGATTAATATAACAAACATCTGGAGATGTCTTGAGAACGCAGAAGTTCTTAAAGTGTGAACTATTAAATTGAAGTAGTTTCAACTTATAATCAGATTTATAATGGCAACTTGGAATTATTTTTTGATAAAAATATGAAGCAGCACAAGATCTAGCTACTTCTTACAAAACTCTTATTTTTTTGAAACTGCATAATCCTTCAGATGTCACACTAAGGTAGAGCTCAAAGAAGCTTCAGCTTTATCCCTATATTCTCCCTACCAAAAAGCAAAGAACTGGTTTAGATTCAAGTCCACCTCAAGATGCTGGACTTGCCTTTTTTGTCATCTTCATATTCAACAGCACAAATTATAACTGGCACAACCCTAGTTTGTATTTCGCAAAGCCCAACTAAGAAGTAAGCTTACTAAAATCAAGCAGACAGCTTGCTGAAGCTGTACTGCATTACCTTCAGTAGGGGAAGCCAGTTCCCAGGAGGGAGTAAAAATCTCCTTCAGATCCCTGAGAATGTTATCAGCATTTCGCTCCCTCCCAAGCTGTCCTTGCTTAACGATTTTCTCTTGAGCCACTGAAACAAATGCAAAAGCAAGCAAGATACCAAGAGCAGGAGCACGTCAGGAGAGATGGTGAAGGGGATAAAAAAAAGAAAATACGGAAAGTGAGAAAGATGAGCGTAAAAAAAACTTTTTAAGACACAGCTGAATGCCTCATTTAGCCAGCTGCTGCCCATGCACCAAGACAAATTCTAAGATGAAATTCAGGCATATTTAGGATTTCTTATTAAGGAAATGCATTGTCTATAAGGCTAAGACACATTAATGTTGCTCTTTCTTCTGAAATGCCTCCTCTAGAGTCTAGCATTTTCCAGTTTTTGCTCATGTAAGCTATTGTTATGCAAAGACATCAGTGCCATTAATCATTCTTACTTGTAACCTTCAAGTCCTGAATGACAGTATTACACTACAGCTGACTCACGAATCTACTAAGAATGTGTGTCATACGAACAAGATACTTCCACTCAGCAACGCATTAGGAGACCACCACCAGGCATACATTTACAATACACTTCAGTGGAAGGAATCCTGTGTTACCAACACAAACACGGCCACAGGTTTAGAAGTGAACTGTTGTGTTTAAAAGATTGTTTGACATTACCCAAAATCTCACATTTTTCTGTGTTTTCAGTAAGACTTAACATATAGCAATCGCTCTCCAGAAGCGTAATTATTCCAACGTTTTAAAGTCAAGTCACAGAGCACTACTCTGCCTTTTAGTATAATACATCTATCAAAAATATTTTTTAACGTAACATGTTGTACAGAATGATTAAAAGCAAAGGAGAAAGTTACCCTTCTTAGCTCCTGTTCTGGAAGAAGCAGTGAAGAACTTCTTCACAGTAGTGACCTTTCGTGTTTTCTCATTGGTTTTCTTTTCTTCAAATTTTGAAAAGGTCAGTGACTGTGCCCCTTGGGTACTCTGACTACTGGCATACGCTTCTTCCTCCTCACGTTGAAGCCTGGAATTAGAAAAATTTAGGTCTAATTTAAGTGCTTAAAACCAGTACAAATAAGCTAATTTCCTGTGCAATAAATTAATTACTTATTTGACATTTTAATTCTTCTCTATGCCCATCTTCACTTCTTGCTTCCTACCACATCTCCCTTCACTACATTACATCCAATCTTTCCATGTTGCAACAGTGCAAGTCAG